TCATGCCTGTAATCCTAGCTCTCTGGGAGGCTGAGGCGGGCAGATCGTTTGAGCTCAGGAGTTTGAGACCAGCCTGAGCAAGAGTGAGATCCCGTCTCCACTGAAAAATAGAAAGAAATTAGCTGGACAATGAAAAATATATAGAAAGAATTAGTTGGGCACAGTGGCGCATGCCTGTAGTCCCAGCTACTCGGGAGGCTGAGGCAGAAGGATCGCTTAAGCCCAGGAGTTGGAGGTTGCTGTGAGCTAGGCTGACGCCATGGAACTCTAGCCCGGGCAACACAGTGAGATTCTGTCTCAAAAAAAAAAAAAAATTCTGTATTCCGCCAATATCGCCTGCGTCTCCCACTGACCTGTAGGATAAGTCCCAAACCTCTTGGCATGGCATTCAAGGCCCCAGGAGCCATCAACTGCCACCCTTTCCAGCATCTCTTGCTTTCACTCTTCCAGCTTGCCCCACCATGTTCCAGATGCACGAGCCGCTTTTCCCAGCTCATGCTGGTCCCGTTACCTAACTGTCCTTTCCCTCCATCACCATCTGCCGGTGTCTTCTCCTGGCCCAGCCGGCAGAGTGCAGGCTCCTTCCACTAGGACCCACGAGCCCAGGAACAGCCCTGTCCTCTAACTTTCCTTTCACTGCATCCTAACTATGGCGATGGCCACTTTCCCCTTTGGTCTGTGACCTCCTGGTGGCAGGTTTTGTGTTTGATTAATTTCTATATTTCCAGAGCCCAGCTCAGAGTCTACTCCAGAGTAAATACTTATTACTATTATTAAATATATATCTTTGAGATAGTCTTGCTTCGTCACCCAGGCTAGAGTACCATGGTGTCAGTTAGTTCACAGCAACCTCAAACTCCTGCGCTCAAGCGATCCTTCTGCCTCAACCTCCCAAGTAGCTGGGACTACAGGTGCGAGCCACCACACCCGGCTAATTTTTTGTTTCTATTTTTAGTTGCCTGGATAATTTTTTTTTCTATTTTCAGTAGAGACAGGGGTCTCACTCTCGCTCAGGCTGGTCTCGAACTCCTGAGCTCAAGCAATGCACCTGCCTCAGCCTCCCAGAGTGCTAGGATTACAGGCATGAGCCGCGGTGCCCGGCCTTATTATTAAATATTGATTATTACTGGTATAAATAGGAATATCATGTCTTCGGCATTGGTTATGTACCAGGGACAGGGCTTACATGTGTCATTTAATCCCGTAGCAGCCAAGCAGGGTTGGCAGTAGCATCCCCATTTTGCACCTGAGGACTCTGATGCACAGAGAAGCTAAGTGATTGCCCGGGTCCGTCTCTGCAAAGCCCACCGTGGTAGCCACTGTGGCAGATTGCCTCGCAGGGAGATTCAGTGCATCGAGAGCCCCTGTGTGCCCCCAGGCAGGCTGGCGCACCGACCCTCCCTCTCCCCTGCCCTTCCCGCCCCGTCAGAGTCCATCAGCAGCTATGAAGCCCAGATCGCTTCCCTGAAGCAGGAGCGGCAGCAGCAGCAGCAGGACTGGGAGGAGAAGGAGCGGGAGCTGGTCCGCCTGAAGCAGCTGCTGTCCCGCACGCACCCCCTGGACTCCTTGGAGAAGCAGATGGAAAAGGTTGGGGCTGGGACACCTGCCTCACCCCCCTGGGATGTCCCATTCCCTGGTCACCGGGCTCAGGGCCCCCAGTCATGATTCCAGGAATAGCACAGAGCTAGCGCGTGGTGTTAAGGGCTTGGCTTTGTGCTCGGCAAGGTCCTGGCTTGCCCCTTGCTAGTGGGTGACCCGGTTCGTTTGCCTCCAGAATGAGGGTAAGTCGTGTCGAAGGAAGGGAACCGACATGTGAGGTAACACCGTGCTCGGTGCTCAGCACGCTCAGTCTCCCCAGCCAGGGACGCCCATTACGTCCATTTAACAGACGAGTCAGGCGAGGCTCGGAGAAGTTCAGTAGTTCTCCCTGAGTTAGGCCCATAAAAAGGAGCGGAGTTGGGATTTTAAAATCTAGGCAGGCTGGTCCTAAAGTTTTTGTTCTTAATCTCTTTTTTTTTTTTTTTTTTTGAGACAGAGTCTCATTTCTTTGCCCGGGCTAGAGTGAGTGCCATGGCGTCAGCCTAGCTCACAGCAACCTCAAACTCCTGGGCTCAAGTGATCCTTCTGCCTCAGCCTCCCGAGTAGCTGGGACTACAGGCACGCGCCACCATGCCCGGCTAATTTTTTTTCTATATATTTTTAGTTGGCCGATTAATTTCTCTCTAATTTTAGTAGAGGCAGGGTCTCGCTCTTGCTCAGGCTGGTCTCGAACTCCTGAGCTCAAACAATCCGCCCGCCTCGGCCCTTCCAGAGTGCTAGGATTACAGGCGTGAGCCACCGCGCCCGGCCTGTTCTTAATCTCTTACCATTAAAGAATCTCTGTTACTATTGTTATGAACAATAACAGGAAGTACATATCATCCAATGCTTCAAAGCAAATTTAGGTCATCACCTCATTTGATGCTCACAGCAGCCGTGTGAGATAGATAAATTAAAAATTAACATTCTGGAGGTTGCAGTCCAGGTGCTGAGGCCTGGTCACCGGCTCCTGAAAAAAAATTAATATTTCATGGCTGGGGAAACTGAGTCTCAGGGAGATGGAATAAGTTACCTGGTTAGAAAGACAAAGATCAAAACAGGAGCCCAAGAAAGGAAGGCTTCCAGCCCATAGCTTCCAGGCAGAGGTTGCCACGTGCATCCAGAGGGTTCCTCAGGCGACACTTCCACAGGGTGGTAAAGGAGAGGGCCCTGCCCAGCGAAAGCCACCTGACACAGCAAAGCATCCAGTCTGCGGCCAGCTCGATTCGTGTCCCGGCCAACCCCTGTGCTCAGCCTTTGCCCATCTGTGCAAGGGCATCCACAGAGCACGATTCCAAGCCGCCAGACGGGGTTGGAGGGGTTTTGTTTGGGTCATACAGTCTCACCCTGCCTGTTGCAACTGTTCATATAAGAGATTTATTTGGAGGGTTGAGCTGAGCTTGTTTGGGAAGTTTTTGAGTAATTCAAGAGGTAGAAATGGCATGAGCTGAAAGAAGGTGGTGACAGAGACAAGGATGACAGGCAGATTTCTGCCTTGAACAGCAAATGGCTGGCAGGGCCATTCCTGCTAACCTAGTGCTGTGGCAGGAGGAGCAGCCTCGGTGAGATGTTCAGCCTTGGCTGAGTCAGTTTAGACGAACCTATGTGACATTCAAGTGTAGCTGTCCAGAGGCTGTACAAGTTCAGCAAGATCCCAAGCTTGGAAACAGATGGGGAAAAAATGGTCAGTTGGCCAGGTGCAGTGGCTCAGGCCTGTAATCCCAGCACTTTGGGAGGCTGAGGCAGAAGGATTGCTTAAGGCCAGGAGTTTGAGATAAGCCTGAACAACATAGCGAGATCCAATCTCTATAAATAAAAAAGCCAGGCGTGGTGGCTCACGCCTCTAATATCCTAGCACTTTGGGAGGCTGAGGCGAGAGGATCGCTTGAGTTCAGGAGTTCGAGACCAGCCTCGGCAAGAGTGAGACCCTGTCTCTACTAAAAATAGAAAAGAAATTAGCCAGACAACTAAAAATAGAAAAAATTAGCCAGGAATGGTTGTGCAGGCCTGTAGTCCCAGCTACTTGGGAGGCTGAGGCAGGGGGATCACTTGAGCCTAGGAGTTTGAGGTTGCTGTGAGCTAGGCTGATGCCACAGCACTCTAGCCTGGATGACAGAGCAAGACTCTTGTCTCAACAAAAAAAAAAAAGAAAAAGAAAAATTAGCTGGGCATGGTGGTGCACACTTGTAGTCCCAGCTAATTGGGAGGCTAAGGCAGGAGAATCACTTGAGCCCAGGAGTTTGAGGTTGCTGTGAGCTAGGCTGACACCATGGCACTCTAGCCCAGGCAACAGAGCCAGGGTCTCACCTCAAAAAAAAAAAAACAATAGAAAAATTAACTGGGAATGGTGGTGCACACCTGTAGTCCAAGCTACTTGGGAGGCTGAGGTGGGAAGATCACTTGAGCCCAGGAGTTTGAGGTTGTAGTGAGCTATGATGATGCCACTGCACCCTAGCCTGGGCAGCAGAGTGAGACCCTGTCCCTTGTCTCAAGAAGAAAAAAGAAGAAAAGGTCAGCCCAGCATTATGGTGGTGGATGGGAGTGTGGGAGAACAAATCAGTTAGTATGAGTTTGGCCTGCATGTGATTGAAAACCCAAATTAACAGTGGCTTAAATAAGATAAAAGTTTATTTTTCTTAAAGTCCAAAGGTAGACGTTCTGGAACTGGTATAGCAGCTCACAAGTCATTAGGAACCCAGGCTCCTCCTATATTGCTGTTTTGCCATAGGTAGCAGATTGCCTCATGGTCCAAGATGACTGCTTGTGTGCCAGCCATCATGTCCACATTCCAGCCAGCAAGAAGGAGGAGAAGGAGGAGTAAAGAAAGGCACACCCTCTTCCTTTATGGAGTTGTCCTGGAAGGCGCCCTTGGCACATCTGCTTCCATCTCATTAGCTGGAACTTAGTCGGATGATCGTGTTTAGTTGCAGGGAAGCTAAGAAATGTGGATGGTATTCTAGAATTTAGGCCACATGCCCAACTAAAAATGTGAGGTTCTATGTCAAAAATGAAAATGGATGTTGGGGAGGAAAGGCATGGTGAGTAAGTGGGCCACAGGAGGAAGTCATGACATTGGCCCCTTTACCTTATGCCCTGGGGCAAGTCACGTAACCTTCCAGAACCTCCGTGTTCTTATCTCTGAAATGGGAGGGTTAGGATAGCTGTTGTGCTGGCAGAGGCAGCTCTGAACAGACCCGAGGGGTCCAGCAGCAGGGGCAGCATGGGACTGTTGCTGCCCACCCCCCTGCCTCCAGGCCCACGAGGACTCGGAGAAGCTGCGGGAGATCGTGCTGCCCATGGAGCAGGAGATCAGGGAGCTGAAGGCGAAACTGCTGAGGGCAGAGGAGGTGATTGAAGAAATGCAGGTAAGGGCGCGGCCAGGGGGCGCTGAGGGAAGAAGGGCCCTGCCAGACCCTGGCCCCCCAGCCTCTTTCTTGCCTCTTCGCTAGAGACAGCCCCAGCAGCCCCCGTCCCTGCATGGCTCCACGGAGCTGCTGCCCCTGGCCCGGGACCCGTCGCCCCCGCTGGAGCCTCTGGAGGAGCTGAGTGGAGACGGGGGCACGGCAGCTGAGGCCTTTGCCCACAACTGTGACGACAGTGCCTCCATCTCCTCCTTCTCCCTGGGTGGCGGGGCCAGCAGCAGTGCCTCCTTGCCCCGCGGCCGCCAGGGCCTGAGCCCTGAGCAGGAAGAGACAGCCTCGCTGGTGTCCACGGGCACCCTGGTCCCTGAAGGCATCTATCTGCCCCCTCCTGGTTACCAGCTTGTCCCAGACACCCAGTGGGAGCAGCTGCAGGTGGAGGTGAGTGGTGTGGTCGAGCGGCTGACGTGTACTGAGCGCTGCCCGCACCCAGGCACTGAGCCGGGCTGCGGCTCCCGTGGTGGAGAAGAGCAGCCGGCTGCTCCTAGTGAAGGGAGTCACACATAAACACGCACAGGGACGCACGAGGAAGACGGTGTCATGGGGAGGTGCTCAGGACAAAATTGAATGGGGTTATGGGGTAGAGGCTGCCAACGAGGGAGGCCAACCTGAGCTCAGGCTGGAGCTGAGACCCAGGTGGTGAGAAGGAGACTCTTAAAGATTGGGGGCAGAGCCGGGCCTGGCGACTCATGCCCGTAATCCCTGCACTGTGGGAGGCCGAGGCAGGAGGATCGCTTGAGGCCAGGAGTTCGGAGACCAACCTGGGCAACATAACAGGACCCCATCTCTAAGAAAAGAAGAATAAACACTTAGCTGGGCGTGGCGGTGCGCGCCTGAGGTCTCAGCTACTCAGGAGGCTGACGGAGGATCACGTGAGCCCAGGAGCTAGAGGGCGCAGTGAGCTGTGATCGCACCGCTGCACTCCAGCCTGGGTGACAGAGCAGGACCCTGTCTCAAGAGAAAAAAGAGATCAGGGGCAGAAAGAACTGCAAGTTCAAAGGCCCTGAGGATGGATAGACCATGGCGTGTCTGAGGAACAGGAAGGCCACCAAGAAGGAGAGCGGAGATCAGGAAGGAAGGCAGGGACCACACGAGTAGGGCGTCCTGGGCCTGCCGTGGAGTCTGCATCTTAACACGAGAAGTGGGCAGCGTCTCCAGGGAGAGGCCTGCCAGCTCCAGGCTTTTGAAAGCTCACCTGGGCCTGTGTGCAGGGGCAGCCTGTGCTGGGGCAGGGACCATAGTTGGGGAGGAGGTTGTGACTGGGACCAGGAGGTGGCAGCAAAGGTGGAAGGTAGTGGGTGGATCTGGAATCTGCTGGAAGGTAGACTGGGCAGGCCTGCAGATGGGTTGACGTGGGGGGTGAAGGGAAGAGTCAGCATCAGTCCTGGGCTTCTGGCGTGTGGGTGATGACGTGCCCGTCCCTGCGGAGGCAGGGAGACCCCCCCCTTGGAGACTGAGACTGAGGTCAGGTTCTGTGGCAGGGTCAGCAGCTGCGGAAGGACCTGGAGAGCGTCAGCCGTGAGCGGGACGAGCTGCAAGAGGGCCTGAGACGGAGCAATGAGGACTGTGCCAAGCAGGTGGGTCCCCACCTCTGCCCGAGCCTGCACAGGGCCTCTGGCTGCCTGCCGCCTCCTGGGGTCGCCCTGGCTTCACCCTCGCTCTCCGTCTGCCCACAGGTGCAGGCTCTCCTGGCCCAGGTTCAGAACTCAGAGCAGCTGCTGCGGACCCTGCAGGGGACAGTGAGCCAAGCCCAGGAGCGGGTTCAGCTGCAGATGGTGAGTGCCAGGGCGCCAGGGAGGGAGGACGAGGGGTCAGACGGGAGCTGGTTGGGGCAGTGTGGGGGCATGTGGGAAGTTGAGGCACCTGTCTGGCTCGCAGCTGCCCTGGCCTCATCCTGGACTTGGTGCCAGGTAGGGAAGAGGGTTTCAGGGGCAGCCGACGCCATGGCCAGAACAGGGCCTGCAGTCACAAGAACTGTGTGATCATGAGCTAATCCCACGAACTCAGAGCCTCCACCTTCCCATCTGTAAAATGGAGATAATGGCCTAGCGTGCAGAGTCGTGAGGATCAAAAGCAAATCATACTTACCCAGACGGGAGAGGAGTTGCAGGTGATTGAGTCGGGCCAGGTGTGGGACAGGAAGGGGAACGCAGCTCGGCAGGAGAGGCCTGCGCAGGGGCTGCTGCTCCTTGGCGCCACTGACCGGGGCCACCTGGGAACGGTGGCTCGATGCTGCCAGATTTTCTGATTTTTCAAGAGAAATCAGAATCTGGATATTTGTGTAGTGTCTCCCACTTTTTAAAGTTGGCAGCTACTTTAAGGTTTAAAAATAACGTGGACCAAATAAAATAGCCGGCCTGGGCTCTGGCGGCCGGTGTGTGACCTCCAAGTCGGCAGGGGGTCTCTGAGGAACTTGGCAGTCAGAGGTGCTCAGTGAAGGATGCTCCTTCCTTTCTCAGGTGCCACGGGGGCGTGGCTTTCTGGCTGTCAGTCCAGAAGGAGGAGGGTTCAGGGTTTGGCCTCAGGGACAGGAGATGCCATGTCACCCTCATTGCCTTGTATTTACTGGCGGTCCTCAGGCAGAGCTGGTCACCTCCCACAAGTGCCTGTACCACGAGGTAAAGCGGCTGAATGAGGAAAACCAAGGGCTCCGGGCAGAGCAGCCACCATCCTCGGCTCCCCAGGGCCTGGAGCAGGACAAGGGCGAGGAGGAGTCGCTGCCTAGCCTGGTGCCAGTAAGTGGGGTGTGGCCGCTGAGAGCCTGGGGCGCCCCTGAGGGCCTCTGTTCCCGGACAAACCCAGGTATTGGCTGGGACCACAGGGCTGGGAGCAGCCCCAGGCTGCTATGTGTTAGCTTGGCCAATGCATTTGACTTCTTGAAGGCTCAGTTTCCTCATCTGAAAAATGGGGCCTTATACCCTTCCCAGCATTGGCATGAAGGGAACATGAGCTGACAGAATGCTTGACCTAAAGGAAGCGCTAATCTGGTCTGTTTGCTCTTTTGGAATGACACGAGATCCATAATATTGAGTGCATTGTAATCTTTGGTTCATAGCACCCTGTCGTCATTGACCTATGCATGGCTCTGTGGACTTATCAATATTATGGTTTATGGATAAGTTAATATGTTAGAAATTATAGGCTGGGCATGGTGGCTCATGCCTGTAACCCCAGCACTCTCGGAGGCTGAGGTGGGAAGATCGCTTGAGCTCAGGAGTTGGAGACCAGCCTGAGCAAGAGCAAGACTCTGTCTCTATTAAAAATAGAAAAATTAGGTGGGCGTGGTGGTGGCACCTGTAGTCCCAGCCACTCGGGAGGCTGAGGCAGGAGGATCACTTGAGCCCAGGAGTTTGAGGTTGCTGTGAGCTATGATGATGCCACGGCACTCTAGCCAAGGTGACAGAGCTAGACTCTGTCTCAAAAAAAAAAAAGAAGAAAAGAAAATATAATGATCAGGACCCCCCACCCCGGAACTGCAGCTGGCATCTGCTGCTGAGCACCCCACCTCACGTTTCCTGGGCTGTGCTTGGCGTTCCTGTTCTTTGGTGTAGTGTTCCTACATAAACAGTGGAGTGCTGCTTAACTTTAGTTGTCGCGGCTTTGCAAGAGGGTACCTTGCTCTAGGTAATCTGGAACTTTCACTCGGCACCCTTCCCAAGCGTCACCACACTGGCACTGTGGCTTGTGTACTTCTACTGCTATACTGCGGCGGGTTCATCCCCTTCCAGACCGTGGGCATCTGGGCTCTTTCCCTTTTTAGCCATTTCCTTCCTTTCCCTTCCTCCCCACAATCTCCATCTGGCTGGAGGGCCTCGTGGCCCCTGCCCTCCTGCCCCACGCGCAGCCCAGCAGGTGACTCGAGTGCCTTCCAGGAGCTGCAGCTGCTGGTGCGCCGCACTCGGCAGGAGGCGCGGGCCCGGCAGCAGGCCCAGGAGCACGGGGCCGAGCGCCTGCGGATTGAGATCGTGACACTGCGGGAGGCGCTGGAGGAGGAGACGGCAGCCAGGGCCAGCCTGGAGGGGCAGCTGAGGGTGCAGCGGGAGGAGACAGGTGAGGGCAGGGAAGACGAGCTCCCCCGCCCCCGGGCGCCCGACCTCCCTGTGGGGACCATCTGGGCCCATCACTGGCCATGGGAGGGGAGAGGAGGTGGCAGGAGCCCTGGCCCTGACCTCTCTTTCTTTCCTTCCCACACAGAGGTGCTGGAGGGTGAGTCTGGACTGGCATCTGCCTGGGGGCTGGGGCGGGTGGAGGAGAGGGTGTGGGCCTGACATCTGGCCGTGGCCTGACTTGCCAGCCTCCCTGTGCAGCCTGAGGACAGAGATGGAGCGGATCCAGCAGGAACAGAGCAAGGTGAGGCTGAGCTCTGGGCTGGGCCGGGCTGCTGGGGGACAGGCCTGCTGTGCAGAGAAGACCCTCACCAGCCCCTCCAGCACTTTGTCTCCCTAAAGCCAAGTGGCGGGGAGGTTTGGGGCAGCCGCCAGGCTCTTGCCAGACAGAGGAGGTCAGAGTTGGGATGGTGTAGAAGGGGCAACCCTGTCCGGACCTCCTGTTGCTTTGGGCACACACGCCCCCGCCCCCGCCCCCCAGTCTGGCCCAAGGCTGAACCAGCCTGGCTCAGCGTCCCGTCCCCCAGGCCCAGCCCCCAGACCTCTCAGAACAGAGGGCCAAGGTGCTGCGGCTGCAGGCAGAGCTGGAGACCAGCGAACAGGTGCAGAGGGATTTTGTACGACTGTCCCAGGCCCTGCAGGTACGACGTGTGCCCGCCCCACCTGGCTGGCTGACTTGCAAACACAGTCCCCCAACTGGGGGAGTCCCTCCCTCCTTCTGGGACTAGCATGGTCCTTCCCTCCGACCTATTGCTCCAAAAAAGCTGAAGCTGTTTTGTGCGCATCTTAGCCTGTCCCGTGAGGCCCTCAGTACGGGCCCGGTGTGTGGGTGTGCAGCACGCTCCTGGCCTTAGCCCCACCGCCCCCCGACCTGCTCAGGCTGCTCTCACAGGGCCCTTTCCCCGCTTGACCTTGATTTCACCAGGGGTTGGGGAAGGTGGGGCAGCCACCGCAGAGGGCCGGCGGGTGGGGTCAACGCTGCGTGTCGCCACCGGGAGCCTTTGCTTCCCCACCCAACCCGCAGGTGCGCCTGGAGCGGATCCGCCAGGCGGAGACTCTGGAGCAGGTGCACAGCATCCTAGACGAGGCGCCCCCGAAGGACGTCAGGGACATCAGGGATACCTGAGGGGCAGGGCGAGGACCACCCCCACCTGGGGAAGACTCTCTTCTGCACTCCTGCACCAAGGCCTGGGCTTCGCGGGTCTCGGATGGAGTCTTCACTGTCTCTGAGCCGGGGGTTGAGGTGACAGGGCTGCTCCTGCCCTGCTCCTCCGGCATCTCCTCGCAGGGGTGGCTGGGCCTTCTGCTCTCAGGGATGACACCCGGGTGAGGGTCCCAACCCCCTCCCAGAACCAAAAGTGCAGGCTCAGCCCTGCGGCTGCGGCTTTCTGGCTGCTGTGCCACCGTCCCCAGCCAGCTCACAGCCTCTGCAGCCGTGGCCCCTGCTCCAGCACGGCCGGGCCTGTGGAGGCTGGGAGCCCCGTCCTGTGTCAGGGGGGCCCTTGCACTGGGCCCTGGGACAGGCAGCTGCTCTCTGGTCTGCATGACATCAAGACGCTTGTCCACAGGGGCTCGACCCCGGCTTCAAGATGAGCACAGAGGCAAGGCCAGACTTTTCTGTCATTTATTTTCAATAAATAAGCAGCTCAGCTCAGTCGGTCGCCTTGTCCCTGCAAGCCCCTCAGGGTCCGGAAGGGGAAATTTACAAGGGTGAAGGGGAGGGTCGGTTGCTAAGAGGGAAGGAGAAGGGGACGTTGTGTTTATAAACAGAAACACGTCAGGGGAGGGGGGTTCTGTGCCACAGCTCTGGCTGAAGATGCGTCACTAGGGGGTGGGGAAGATGGGGCAAAAGGATGGTTACTTCCTCCTTTCATCTTCTGGATCTGGAAGGAGAGAGAGAGGGATGAAGCGGTCTGCAGGGTGGGTGGGAGGGAGAGACGTGCCCCCCCAGCTGCGTCCCCGGCACGCTCACCTGGCCAGCTGCAGGGTCACCCCAGTCCCATTGCCCCCTACTCACCTGTGTCCCCAGACCCTGCCCCCCACCCTGCAGCCCCAGCGGCAGAGACAGCCCAGCCAGCGCGGCGCAGCGCAGCATGGCAGACACTGGCGCCCAGAGGCCTGGCACTGCTGGGCGGGGGTCTGGGAGTGGGTGAGGCCCACCCCGGTTGGAAGCGCAGCGCGGCAGTGGCAGCAGCGGCAGTGGCTCTAGGTGGAGCCGCGAGCGCAAGTGATCTTGGAGGCGGCAGGGGCACAGCAGCTGGGGTGAGGGCAAGAAGAGGGGGCGATACCTGTGACACGGTTCAAAGAGTTGGAGGAGGGGGAACGGTTACCCTATGGCCAGAGAGCACAAGAGACTGTTGTCAAGGAGGGGAGGCAGCGGGGGGCAGAGAGGGCTGAGGAGGGGGAGGGGATGGGGCTCCTCCCTGGTGGACGCTGGTCCTGCTGAACCCAGGAGAACTTACCCACCTGAAAAGGAAGAGGGTGGGGCGGGCGCTTCGCGGCGCAGAGGGCAGGGGCTGTGTGGGGGCCGGGCCCACAGGGGCAGGGAGGGGTGCTCCTTACCCTCCAGGTAGTTCCGAGCAACGAACTTGAGGATTTCATCAAGCCCGATGACAGGAAGTGAGATCTTGAGGACCATGAGCCACTGGGTGGTGTCCAGGGCCCGGAGCTTGAAGATCATCTGGGGATGGGGGCGGGGTGTGAAGAAGGACAGGGGCCGGGACGCACTGTCCAGCCGGGTCCCACCTTCCTCCCTGTCCACACCTCCAGGGGTACTGGTCATGGCCCCTGCAGGTGCTCCCCGGGCTGGGGCTGGGGGAGGCTCACCGGCAGGGGGTCGACGTAGAGGATGAGGAAGTGGAGGGACATGGAGAGGCAGATGGAGCCCACCAGCCAGATGTTGACCCAGGGCGGCATGCGCAGCAGGGACTGGTTCTCAGACAGGCTGCAGGCAGCAGGTGGGAGACACGGGACACAGACAGTGAGGGGGTTGGCGGGAGGCAGGCCGGGGCGAGGACAGGCCTCGGGATGGCAGCCAGAGTGGGCAGGTAGGCCCACCTGTTGAGCGCGTTGCACATCTCGATGGTCACCAGCACGGACAAGGCCATGGTCATGGGCTCGGGGGCCTCAAAGACCTCACAGTCCACACCATCAAAGTCAGGGTGGTGCTCCGTGCACTGCATGAAGTGAGTCTGCAGGGGAAGGGACGGGAGTCTGAGATCCCAGAGACGCCCCCACACCACCCTCCCGGTCCCCGCCTCTCCGTCCTCCCCCTACCAGCTGGCTGTAGTTGACTTGAGGCCCATCCTCTGCATACAGGAACCACCAGGCGGCTGCTCCCACAGTGGCTGCACCCACGTAGCCTGTGGCAGAGAGGACGGAGTCGGAGGTCAGGGCTGGGGAGGTGGGAGGCATCCAGGGGGCCTCGCACAGCCACAGTCAGACAACTGGTGGAAGGGGACCCATGGAGGTAGCCACACGCAGGGAGCTGGTGTCCCGGAGAGGGGGTCAGTCCCAAAGGCTGGGAAGGATTGTGGGGTGCCATCTTGCTCACCCCCAATTGCCATGTAGCGGAAGAAGAGCCAGCCACTGATGAGGGGCTCCTTGGGGCTCCGGGGGGGCCTGTCCATGATGTCCAAGTCTGGTGGGTTGAAGCCCAGGGCGGTGGCAGGGAGCCCGTCAGTCACCAAGTTTACCCACAGCAGCTGCACAGGGATCAGGGCCTCGGGCAGCCCCAGGGCGGCTGTCAGGAAGATGCTGCCGGAAGGAGATGGTTGCACGTCTGTCCTGCCTCCCAGGCCTGTGGCCACCCCCCCCACCCAGCCCCCACTTCCCCTGGGATGCCCGCCCTGGCCGCTCACCAGACCACCTCGCCCACGTTGGAGGAGATGAGGTAGCGGATGAACTGCTTCATGTTGTTGTAGATGGCGCGGCCCTCCTCCACGGCGGCCACGATGGTGGAGAAGTTGTCATCAGCCAGCACCATCTCAGAGGCAGTCTTGGCCACGGCAGTGCCAGATCCCATGGCAATGCCGATCTCGGCCTTCTTCAGGGCAGGGGCATCGTTGACGCCATCGCCTGTCTGAGGGAGGTGGGGGTGCTCAGGGCCTGAATCCATCTCCTCTCCATGCATCTCCCCGGGGCCCTCCCGTCCTGGGCCCACACTGCCCATGCAGGTCACGCAGCCCCGTGGGGGTCTCACCATGGCTGTGATCTCATCGTAGGACTGCAGGTACTCCACGATCTTCGACTTGTGTGTGGGCTCCACGCGGGCGAAGCAGCAGGCGCGTCGGCAGGCTTCCCGCTGCTCAGTCAGGGGCAGGTCGTCAAACTCTCGGCCTGTGTAGGCGCGGTCTGCCACCTCCTCGTTCTCCCCAAAGATACCAATTCGTCGGCAGATGGCAATGGCTGTGCCCTTGTTGTCCCCAGTGATCATGATCACTCTGATCCCAGCATCCCGGCACAGCTGGATAGAGCCGGTGACCTCCTTGCGGGGCGGGTCCAACATGCCTACCACACCGACGAAGGTCAGGTCCGTCTGGGGAGACAGCAGGGGGCAACAGGTCAGGGAGGGATTTGAAAAACAGGCCCGGAGGAAGTTGGCGGCGTGGGATGGGGTGAAAGGTCGAGAAGCTGGGGAGAGCCTCAGCCCTGGGCTTCAGCCTCAGGGCCTGGTGTCGGAGCTCAGTGGGGCCTTGGAGCTCAGAAGCAGGAGCCGTTTGTCTTTCATCTGTGTACTTGCAGGGCCTGGTGGTGCCAGGCCCATCACAGGTCCAGATCGTGTCTTTCATAGAAAGACACTTCGAGCTGGCAGTGAGGGCAGTGGTTTCTGCTTTCAGCGCCACCACGTGGCCTACAACTTTGAGCAAATCCCCTATTACCTGCTGGGACACTGTCTTCCCTCTGTAGAATTAAGGAAGTGGACTTTGGTGCTGTTCGGGGTATCAGTCCCCTACGAGCAAGGAGCCTGCGCCATAACACAGGTCAACTGCCTGGAGACAGTCTCAGTATGGAAAACACGTCCTCCGAGCCCTGCAGCGTGTCGCGTGACATCCATTCCTGTTCTGGTGCAAGCGCCTCGCCCCGTCAAAGACTGGTCCACAGATCACACTTTTTTTTTTTTTTTAGAGGTGGGTCTTGCTCTGTCACCCAGGCTGGAGTGCGGTGGCTCCATCATAGCTCACTACAACCTCCAACTCTTGGGCTCAAGCGATCCCCCCGCCTCAGCCTCCTGAGTCGCTGGGACTACAGGCACAAGCCACCGTGCCTGGCTCCCAGATCACACTTACAGTAGCACTGGACTAGACAACTCCCAGGGTTCCTTCAAACTCTAATGTCCTGTGATCCTTGGCCTGTGCTATGGACCCACTGATTTGACTGACGAGGTAGGAAATGACAAGGGTGGTGGCGGGTATGAGGCCAGTGATTGGAAACCTGACGCTTGGCCGGCTCCAGGATGAGGGAGGCTCCCATCAGCTAGCTCACCTCGTACTCCATGAACCTGGCAGAGTCATCCAGAACCATCTCCTCTCGCTTAGGGGGTGTGTCTCGGGTGGCCAGGGCCAGGCAGCGCAGGGTGTCCCGGCCAGTGCCCCACTCCTTGATCACCGACATGATCTTCTCCTTCACTGGCGTTGTCAGCGGCACCCGGGTGGTGCCAACACGCACGTAGTTGCAGCGGTCAATGACCCCCTCAGGTGCACCCTGGGAGACCAGGACAGCATTCAGAGACCCCCACCTGTCTTCCAGGGGACAGGGAGAGGAAGCACAGGTAGGAGAAGGGTCCAGGATTAGGAAGAAGAGGGGACTGAGGCACATTTCTATTTCTGACCTTGACAAACATCTTGTTGCCCACAGCGGCCCGGGAAGATTTGGCTGGGGAACAGTAGACAGACATGGACTTTCTGTCTCGGGAGAACTCCAGGGTGAATTCCTTCTTCATTAGCTGACGGATCACCTGGGAGAGAGAAGACAGGCCTCTTAAAATTATCAAAAACGATCTGGAGGTCAGAGCAGACTACAAGCTAAGACTGAGAAGAAAGAGAGAATTTCAAGGCTTGTGTCCATTCTAAAGCACAACAGAGGCCGGGCGCGGTGGCTCACGCCTGTAATCCTAGCACTCTGGGAGGCTGAGGCGGGAGGACTGCTTGAGCTCAGGAGTTTGAGACCAGCCTGAGCAAGAGCGAGACCCCGTCTCTACTAAAAATAGAAAGAAATTATTCAGACAACTGAAAATATATAGAAAAAATTAGCCGGGCATGGTGGCACGTGCCTGTAGTCCCAGTTACTCGGGAGGCTGAGGCAGGAGGATCGCTTGAGCCCAGGAGTTTGAGGTTGCTGTGAGCTAGCATGATGGCACGGCACTCTAGCCCAGGCAACACAGTGAGACTCTGTCTCAAAAAAAATAAATAAATAAAGCACAACAGAAACAGGATGGCCTCGTGTGGCAGTGTCCAGAACTTTCAGTGATGGTAGAAATGTTCTCTAATCCTCACTGTCCCACATGGTGTAACAGAGCAATTGCTGTGGAGCCCTGGAGGTGTGGCCAGTGTGATCGAAGAACTGAATTTTTACTTTTTTTGAATTTGAATTAATTTAAATGTAAATAACCGCGTGTGGTGTTGGACAGTGCAGGCCTCGTGCCTGGTGCTCGGTGATAAATAAGCACCTCATAAAAATGAATGAAAGCGTTTTCTCACTAAATGCACCGTGTATATTTCTCCACAAAATAAAAATAACAAAGTTAAAGACAAATTTATGTTTGTATTATCATTTGTAAGTTTTTAAAAATTAATCCTCTATTGATAGATATGTGGGTTTTCAGGTTTTTTGTTTTTTTTTTTTTTTGAGACAGAGTCTCACTTTGTTGCCCTGGCTAGAGTGAGTGCCATGGCGTCAGCCTAGCTCACAGCAACCTCAGACTCCTCGGCTCAAGCGATCCTACTGCCTCAGCCTCCCAAGTAGCTGGGACTACAGGCATGCGCCACCATGCCCGGCTAATATTTTTTTCTATATATTTTTAGCTGTCCAATTAATTTCTTTCTATTTTTAGTAGAGATGGGGTCTCGCTCTTGCTCAGGCTGGTCTCAAACTCCTGAGCTCAAACAATCCGCCCACCTCGGCCTCCCAGAGTGCTAGGATTACAGGCGTGAGCCACCGCGCCTGGCCTTTTCAGGTTTTTTGTTATATTAAAGCAGCAATGAGCATCTTGCATATACAAAAAAAACCCAAAACAAAAAAGAATGAGAGATGTGGGGAATATGATTCCCTAGCGAGAGGAACTGAATATAGACATTCAGCAAATATCAGTAGAACTCAAGTGACAGTAACAGAATTAGCCTGGTTCCTCTGGACAAGGAAAGTCTTCCCCTGTAGGTACAGCAGCCATATTTCCCAAATCCTAAATCAGGACTTGAGATCTGACGAAAACGAGCCTGCTTCTAGACACAAAGCAGTAATAGTTGACATCAGGGCTGCCCCGGGATGGGTCACCGCGGTTTCTGTGCCCAGCTCTGTCCATTTCAACTTGGGACACACCAGACAGAGTGATCTTAAGTCCATCAGGGGCACTGCAGCCAGGCTGCAGGTCCCACCCACACCCGGCCATCTACCAGCCTGGCTGGGGTCCCAGCACAGGCACAAGGCCCTGCCCAGCCTCTGCCTCCTGAGGTGGCTTAGGTCCTGGTCTGCATGACATGGGGCAAAGAAGGCCCCCAGGTGGCGGTCCCCAGACTCACCGAGTTGCAGGCATTGGCCCTCTCCACCTTTGAGAGGCTCTTCACGTCAGTGTTGAACACATTCATTTTCTCCACCAGGGTGGTAAGTGCTGTCTCAGTGGCCTCGCCGACCTTCTCATAGACACCTTTGGCCTGAGACAGGCAGAGGAGGAAGAGGAAGTTGGCACCTGAGCTCCCTGCCCCACGCTCCCACCTGTCATACCCTCCTCCCAACCTAGAGTGAGAAGGAAGCAAACCACTCCCTTCCCTTGCACCCCAGCAGAGGGCTTGGTGTCCTGGGCCCCTTCCTCCTGGCCTGCGGACAAGGCCCAGACTCTGAGCCAATCAGAAGGGGAAGGAGGGCTGCTTTGGGGCTGGGGGGTTACCTCATTGAAGTCCAAGGAGGAGTCATTGCAGAGGGCACAAATGGTGGCCAACTCCACCAGCCCATCATACTGCCCTGTCCGGACTGGCTTATCGTTCTTCAAGCTGGCAGCAGGTGGGGAGGGAGGAAGGGGCAGAGACAGTGAAGAACAGGGAATGAGAGCGCAGGGAGAGCGGGAAGGACAGGTGGGGAGATGGCAACTCGGACATCAGGAGGGGGAGAGAGCAGGTCGGAGGAGGAAGGGCAGAGAGGAAGGAAGACAAGACCAGAAGGAGGGCCCCGGGGAGAGAGGTGGTGGCGGGGCAGGTACAAGAATCCTGGGAGAGGACCTCGGGGCAACTTACACCTCTCCCTCTGGAGCGTAGGTGGAACCGGTGATGGAGAACTCGTTCAGCAAGCAGATGTCCCCGTCCACCCTGTCGATGACGAACATCTGCAGGGGAGAAGGGCACGCACAGGGATGTCCACCTCTCCCCATGGCTGAAGGCAGGCATCTGCATCGAGGGAGGGCCGTGCACGCTTCCTGACATTGACCCTCCCAGCAAACTAACCGAACGTCCTACCATCCCCTCGATTTGTCTGTCCTTGCCCCTCCCTGCATCACCCCCTTCCCACCGCACCTCTGCAACCATTGTCCATGTTCTGTGTCACTGGACTTAAAACAGAAATTACTGCAAGCCATGCTGGAGCTTCTTTAGATCCGTTAATAAAATAAGAGGAACATAATAAGGTGTGGTGAGGACTGCAGCTAACAGCCCAGCTGTTAGCGCCTGGCCCATCTACAGCACCAGCCCCTTGTGGCTAGATCTTACAGTTTTGCAAAAAGAGCTAGAAATTCAAGTTATTTTCCTATGAAATCTCTTGACTTTCAAATATGGGCAATGAATTCACTTGTATGAACCACATTAAGAGCCAAGTCACACCAGCCTGCAGTCTGGCTTTGCGGCCTTGTGCCTCGGAGGGCCGGGGAGAAGGCAGTGCCCAGGGATCAGTGGTCCACCCTGAACCCAGAGCCAGCACAAAAGGGATCGATCGGGCTTTTCATTCTCAAGAACAGGAATGGTTAAGATGGAACCCAAGACAAAAGGTTCTGTGGTCAAATAAAAACTTGGCAAACTGTGAGTTAAACAAGGTAGAATCTTTTGGAAACGCCTTACCTATGCCACAAAAATAAAAATAAAAATAAACAAGGTGGAATCCATCTTCTTTACACAGTCAGCCTTCTCCAGGGTTTTCTGATGCCAATAAGCTGTGTGCATCTCCCCAAGTGCCCAAAGGTGCAGCCTTTCTCGCCCTAAGCCCACCCAGCCTCTGCTTCTAAGAATCGCAATTTAGGGCCGGGCACGGTGGCTCACGCCTGTAA